GGGGCAACCATCCAGTTCCAGAAATATCATTTAGGGTGTTTTAAGTGGCTGTGTCGTCTAATGTTGTAACTACTAAAAAGCTGGCGTTGTCCTAAACAAATTAAAACAAATAAAGCTGTGTGTTGTAGTCCTTTTGGCCGCTGTGTGTGAGAGCAGCTGCTGGAGCGAGTCCGTGGACGAAACCATTTTCGTAACAGCGGGGGAAGAGAGTCGAGCTGAAGTTTGCATTTCAAGCTGCCTTTGCCAAAGCAGTGAACAGGGTTAGCATCTTTAAACTACTTCCAGCTCAAAACAAAAGGTCGAACCACTTAAGCGTTTTTTAAAGACTGGTTTCGATGCCGCTTTTCTTCTTCACTACTTGCTGAAACAAACAAGTTGCAGCTGCCTAGCAACTGTGTCGCTGTCCATGGTGCTAACCCCCCACCCCCACCCCCACTACGCTTATGGGTGCGTCCATCTCAGGGTTCATTACCGAGTCATTCACGCCTCCAAAATACAGTATATTTAACACTCACAACTTTAATGGTATGTTTATTCTGAATGGGTTTTTTTTTTTTTCACTACTTGTCGACATAATGTATGTTTTTTCATGCGGATACTCAATATTCAGAAAACAAAAATGGAAAATTGTTCAATATCTCAATATAGTGTAAACCCTTTGTTCAATGCTGGTACAGGCCCTCTGATCCCTGGAGGATGAGTAATTGTGGGGGCCCCTATTTCTCCAGGGGTAGAAGTTTCCTGTCAGCAACAAAATAGTGCATTTGGCACAGGCCTGTTTGCCTGCAATAAATTAGAGGTTGTGCTGCAGTAAGGAAATAATGCTGGTACAACTTTTAAAAGATTTTACTACTGTGCCAAACTGAACACACTGTATCATGTTTAATTTTTATGTTTGTTTTTTCCAAAGATGAAAACAATAAAATGAAAATGTGCCCTAAAAAGCTGTGTTTCTTGGTTCCAATAATTGAGACTTCGTCACACCAGCACACAAAACAAAACATTTAAAAGTATTTTTTGTTGTCCATGCAAATTATTAGGGAACAAACATAAATGTTGAACGTCCTAAGATTAAAATTTTAGGTGTTTTTCTGCAAGGCACTAAATCTGTCTCCCAGATTAAAAAAAAAAAAAAAAAAAAAACTAATTAAAATAAATAAATGAGTTTTTGGTCTAATTTGTGCAAGGATGACAGACTGATGAACAATAAAATCTGATGTTTTAGAAACAGAAAAGAAAGAAAAGGTACCTAGATGGCTACCAAGTGGAATTACTGTGTTTAAGCCATTCAGCTATAAACATAATATTAGCCATTCACCTAATATTTCCCAGCAAAAAACAAATAGACAAATAGTGTTTTCAGAATATCCTGTTATTTATATAATAAAAATAAGCAAAAAATAAATAAATAAGTGGTTGTAGTAGTTGTAAGAATAGTAGTAGTAGTAGTAGTAGTAGTAGTAGTAGTTTACTTGTCCAGAAAAAAAATAGAAGTAAAGTTACACAAAAAGTGTCAGCTCATTCACCTGTCTTTTGGTTTGTTTTTGCTGGATTTGTTACTGAATTTAAACAGTCAAAACAAAACAAAAACCATCCATCCATTTACACATTTTTATCTGCTTAGTATTTCTTTTTGTTTTGTTAGTTTGGTTTTGCTATTTACAATGAACCCCTAATTCTAAATGATGATTGTGGATATTGTAACAGTTGTTAGTCTCACATATATTACTACAATATTATCTTTAAAGATACCGGCTCAACATATAGTTGTTTTTTTGGGGGGGTTCTTTTTTTAATAAACAACCAATTATAGTATAAAGATACATTGTTTGGCAGGCTTGTATAACCCATTCCACTGAAATGGAATGTTTTGACAAAATTATTTTTTTCGAGTGGTCAGTGAACGCAGCGTTTCCACTGTCAAGCGCATCCATGGGTATTCCCATTTGACTAGAACGCAGCACAGGACGACAGCAGGCAGAGGTGAAAAGTCTGGATCATGTTGTTATTCCAGCGGAGACGTACATGACGAAAAAAAAGGCCTTACAAATAAAGATTAGTAAGGCGGTCAGCATCACGGTTCTGTCCACAAAGGAGAAACATTGATGTTGTTTCTAACCGGCCAGTTGGGAGAAGCTGATATTTGTTAGCTAGCTAACAGAGGACCAGGCTGGTAGCTAACAGCCACCATCATCGCTCTTTTAGCCAGCTGTGGATCGGCCCGTCTGTCTTCCTGCGATGGGAAACGCAGCAGCTGCCAAGAAAGGCAATGAACAAGAAAGCGGTGAGCATCTGGAAGTCATGCAGACATTTGACATAACTGTTACACGATGTGAGTTTGCATATCACAGTGGAGCGCATCCTTAATTTATCAGACATCACACTGAAGAGCCCATGTTTGGCAGCTTACAGCGTGTTTTTACACTCTTACTACGTCAGTTTGCGAGAGTGCCACAAATAATAAACAAGGTAATTGTTGTATATTATCTGAGCATATATATATAGCAGTGTGCAGGAGCCTGTGGGAGGGTGGGTACACTAAAAGATCCATGGGTTTATATTAGGTGAGTGGAGCAAGATAACATCACAAAACAAGTAGTAATTCATGACCTGGTAGATAAGTCTAAACTTTGTTGTTGTTGTTGTTGTTGTTGTTGTTGTTGTTGTTGTTGTTGTTGTTGTTGTTGTTGTTGTTGTTGTTGTTGTTGTTGTTGTTGTTGTTGTTGTTACAGTGGCATAAAACTAACATCAAAAACTGTTCTCTGTTAAGTCTAATTGCATCTATCTGAAATCTTGAACTTTATTTATACATTCTTTGAAGCAGTATAGTTGCAGGTGCACTGCTGCCAAACTAATCCAGTGAAGTGTGCCATACCCAGTGACCTGTCTGGAGAGGGGCTGATCTTGACCTGATTTCTGATCGGTGCCAGTTGTTGTCTCTCAGACAAGGGAGCCACCGAGGGGAGTGGAGTTGAGGCAATGGGCACCCCTAAAAACTTGGTGCCCCCACTGGACAGTTTTCTCCTCTTGCGTCCCAAGCTTTTGTTTGTTGTGCATTTTTCATTTCCCTTAGCTATTTAGAATTAGTAGAACCTCATAAACATATTAAGAAATGTTGTTGTTGTTGTTGTTGTTGTTGTTGTTGTTGTTGTTGTTGTTGTTGTTGTTGTTGTTGTTGTTGTTTGCTTTGATAAGTTATATAGTGACAGTGCTAATATCAACTGTAAATAGATAAAATCTCAAGTAGACCTGTTTATATCAGAAGGTGAATTCCCTAACTCTCTTATTGCTGCATTTATCAAATAACCTCCATGTGACAACAACATAATATTAATTCAACCTTTATTTATACAGGTTAGTCTCATTGAGTTATGAGTAGGCCTGTCACGGTAACAAATTTTGCTAGGCAATTAATTTTCTCAGAAATTATTGTGATAAACGATAATATTGTTTGAAATTTGACAATAATTAGTAATTATTGTCTAATTTAATTTGGTAATTTAATTTAATTAGTAATTATTGTCAAATTTAAGAAGAAATTCTTAATTTTTTTGCATATAGTACCTTTTTGGACCACCCGATGGCAGTATAAGACTGTTTGAACCGAAGGATGGTTAGTGAGGGAGTGAGCAGCGTGTCTCTAAGAAAAATGGGAGCGAGGCCCCTTGACGTGACATGGGCTGTCTCTCTTCTGTTCTTAAAATGGCAGACGCTCGGTGTGGTTTGAGCTCTTTAGCATAGCATTTTTCACACAAAGCTTTTAATAAAAAATCAGTAAACAAGTTCTCAGCTTCTTTTTGCAGAGAAAAACAACTTTTTACACGAAGGCACGGGTTTCAACCGTGAATTTTAGAGCTTCGACGAGACGGAGGTTTATTCCCCGAGATCGGCCAGTTAGCTTAGCTCATAGCTTAGCTTCTCAGCTTAGCTGCTTTTAACGATCCAAAAACGCAATTTTGGATCGTTAAAATGGATTTTAAAGAGAAAATAAAAAGGGCAGGGTCAGTGAAGAGCATCGGACTTGAGCCTTTTGTCATCCAGTGTCCAGTAGAAAGAGAGCGACACGAAGAAACGATAAAACCGAAACATGACAAGGAAGCCGATAATTCTCATTTATCATGCGATTAATTGATTTATTGTTTATTGCGACAGGCCTAGTTACGAGGACTAATTTTCAAGAGAGCCCTGCTTTAAACAAAGACCACAGATGAGGTACAGACAACAATAGCCAATCATATGGAAGCATATAAAATGAAAAGTAAATTAAAGAAGTGATATAAAATGATACAAAAACAAGCTACGTTATAAAATGGTGTAAAATACTAAGAACAGGAGCATGTCAGCTCTGTCCTAGTTCTTGGTTTTGGTATGCCACCCCAGGATTTTCAGGGGTTTCCACAGTAAAAGATTTCTAGAGACGCCACTGCTACCAGACTTAAGACTTCATCCTCCTGTAGTGCCAGCGGGGTGAAGCTGAGGACACAATAACTACTGAAAACCAAAGACTAGCAGATTGTAACCAAGTGCATTTCTATTTATCTTAAATTGTCTGACATGTTCTTTTTTTTAGAGGTTCAAATTAAACGTCAAAATGAACTCCTACTTTTATACTTCAAGTTTATAAGTTTTGCAGCGAAAGGTCTTGACTTGAGGCTGACAAGAGCTGCACTCTGAAACATAACCACCAGAGAGCACAATAACCTGGGGATAACTTGTTCAGCCAGTTTGTGGGTGTTACGTTTTTTTATCAACAGTCTTATTGTCTTGTGTTTTTAACTTTTAGTGCGCTCCGCCTAATTTGCATTTATCTTTGAAACAACATGCCTCTGCTTGCATGCAAGGCAAAGCAAAGTCACTTTAAATGACACCACATCAAGTCGCTGGACGTGCAGCCAGGCACTGATACTAAAGCAGAGTACATGAACAGGAAGCTTAACTTTATGTGGTTAACCAACCACAGAGGCTGCATACAGGAAGTTAGCATCATTGACATTAGGGTTGTCGAATACTTTGTGAGTGTTCTCACACTCATCAAGACATTTGCTCACAAAAATGGCGCAGGGAAAGGATCAGTCCTTTGCCAGCCGTTTAATCCATAAATATCTTAAGAGTGGTCAAGAGCACAAAGGACAGGAGAGTGAGATGCCTCATACCTCTGAGTTTGCCGTCATGTGGGATAAGCTGAGTAAGTGTAGTACTTTTCTTTTGCTCTTATCTGTGTTTAATGCTTTTTGTAGCTCTGAGCAGGCTGGAACTTGCCTTAGAAAACTGACAGCATTTACTTGAAGTCTTTTACACCAAACAAGAGGCGCACATAGACTCTGAAGGTTATAAAGTGTGTTGGCTAAGCCTTAAAGTTGTTGCTTTTTTCCAAAAAATGTCAGCTGCTTTCATCATTTTAGATGTTTGAGGTTTCCTTCCTCAAAAGCTTCCCAATTCCTGTTGTAATTACATAAACATATCACATTCTAAATTTACCTGAGGCTTTGGTACAACCATTTTAGATTATTTGTCTTGGCATTTGTGGTGCTTCACCTAAGATCATTCTCTAACATGTAGGTCTTGGTGTTTTTGTGCAGATTTGCTATGTGGGATTTTATTAGTTTATTCTCAGTCCATGTTATCCTTTTGTTTATGTAGAAAAATACAAGCCTCCTTCTAGGGGCAGAAAATTAAAACAGGAAGCAATTTAGAATACAAACAGCTGAATAGAGTAAAAGCTTAAAGGAGAATAAATTATTTTTCTATTAAGAATCATCAACTGTTGTGATAAAATGTAGTTTTCAGAGGCAATAAAGGAACAAAAATGTATCTGATTTTAATAATCATCTATTTAACTGGGTTCAATAAGAGTCAAGTGGTGGGGTGTCTTACATTTTCTCTAGTGTTGTTTTTGTGTGTATGTGTTTCTAAAATGTTCTTATTTTTAGCTCGTCATGAATTTTTCTTCCTCTCTTTCTTCTTTCGTCATTTCCATCCATGTGGGTGAATGTTCCTGCGATCCCTGGGTGAACTGTAGAAACTTTTGGTATGCTCATTTTTCAGCGAGACATCCCAAGTCACAGAGATCATATTTGAAGATATGCAGGACATACCGTGCCCTGTTGTGGGGAAACAGTGCAAAAATAAAATAATAATAGAATTCACTGATGAAAAATTCTAAATTAAGCCTGTGAGTCATAAAATAAGCAATATATCTATTGTTGATACTGATAAATTTCCAGCATTTTATCTTTTATATAGTTTAGTTCTTCATGAATTTCAAAGCTAACAAAGAAATCTAATGTTTTGACCCATTACAATCAAATCATATAATCTAAATATGCAATTAGGCAGATATGTTAACAGTAGTTCATATTTTTTTGGAATGGGTTTTTGTGGAAAGGTCATGAACAGTTTTTATCTTAGCTTTTGTAGATAGCTCTTTGAATCTTATAGACTTTAACTCTGTTTGGACTGATGAGTTTACAGCTACCAAGTGAGTCCAAGACCAAAGTTGATTGCTGTTGTCTTTTAACAACTCCAGTTTTTAAAAAAATCATTTTGGTTTTATGTGAACACAATCTTTTTTACATTTACTCCAATGTGAGTTTAGCATTACATGATTATTTTGGCAGAAATATTATGAAACCCCTTCTGGAAATTTCTCACTATGCCCCAGAAATGCTACAGCTTGCTGCTGCTGCCACTGTTTGCACTTGCAAGTAACCATATAATACGAAATAATCATATAATGCTAAATATGCTTCAGTGTCAAGGTTTCAAAAAATGGTTGGCTACGTTCTTTTGGGATTGGAGTTGTTTTAAGATGGCAGCAATTTACTTTAGTCCTGGTCCCACTCAGACTGGCCATTGGCTCGTAAATCCAGACACACGGAAACCACATTTCTTCTAAATAAACCTGTTCAAAAAACTATCTACAGCAGGTAAGATATTGTTTGTCTAAAACCTTTTCACCAAACCTATCTTACTTGTTTCCTTTTTATGGTTTATCCTGATTTGTCTAATCTTTCTTTCAACATTGCTGATATTTGTTAAAAGCTGATATTCAAAATTCATATTATTTGAATATATGGATTATTTGGATTGTTTGGAATAGTGTCCATTCCTATAATGGTCTGCAGACATTAAAATAGCTGAATTTTTGTGACTTCCACTGAAAAGCGTTTTTTTTTTTTTTCTCTCAGTCTTTCACATGGAGATAAGGATATTTGAATATGTATGTGAAAGGCTGCATCTCCGCTGTTCTTTATATGCATTTATTTCACTGACCTAAGAACCTAAAAATTTGTGAGATTTGATGTAGAATTTTCTTGTTTCCTCTATCCAAAATATTTTATATCTTGTTCCCGGCAATGTATTCAAAAGGGTCAATTATTAAAACATTAAATACCTAAACTATATCAGTTTTAACATGGATATGTTTAGTATCCATTAGTCTAAGTCTATCTATTAGTATGTTTAGAGGTTAACTTGATTAGGGAATTATCAGATTAGGTAGACCCCCACCAACACCCCTGAGCAATAGGGAACACATTGATCAATGTAAATAAATGAGTAACAGATTACCAAACGCTAACATCAGTGAGACTTTAAACACATTCCAGTGACTCTTTGACTTTGGACATCTCAAATCTGCTGTGACTTCACCAATACACCGTCTTCCTTCTGCCTGCTCCGTGTTCTCGTTTACATGTATGTTGTGCCGACTGTTGGTGTCTTTGTCCTTCACTCCACCCACTCCTGAAAGAGATGCAGATTAGCTTCTCTCAAATTTGGCCCTTTTGTAAAGTTCACAAGCTCTTTGCATCACTTTATGAATGTAAACTTCCTGCTTAGATGTGTGGTTTTGAAATTTCAATTGTAATTTTTTTTTTCCCTTATTGTTTCCAGTGTAGTCGTCACTTCCCAATACTTGACACAAGCCTGACCTCAGTGCATTGTGCTCCCCTGAATGTGTGAACTACCTTTGTTTTTTTACATGAAACAAATATTTTAAGTTCAATAACTCTTGTTTGTTTTGTATTGCAATTCTGTCTTTTTTATAGTGAAAGAGTTCTTAGCTAAAGCCAAAGAAGATTTTTTAAGAAAATGGGAGTGTCCACCACAAGTAAGTCCTTTTTTAATTTAACCCACTGGTTTCATGTATTTATTGCAGGAGAAACAAATAAATTTGTCAATACAATAAACTTTTCCTTTTGTTACGAGTGGCTCAGATGTTGACTTAAATGCAAGCTGATTGGGTGCCATGTCTTTAAAAAAACACAACATATGTCCATCCACGCCGCTCACCTTGAGTTTCCTGAAGACAACAAATAATGATAATATTGATGGCTTGTATAAAAGCAGAAACTGTGCAAAATCTCAACATTGTATCAACTTGTTGCTTTATTTCCATGAATTTTGTGTTTGTTCAGTGTACGACCACCCTGGATGAATTTGAAAGGTACAAGACTCTGGGTACTGGTTCGTTTGGACGCGTAATGCTTGTGAAGCATAAAGGAAGAAATCTGTTTTATGCCATGAAGATCTTGGACAAACAAAAAGTGAGTTTACGACGACGGTAAATAAAAACAAGTTGTTAAGCTTGTTTGTAAAACTAAAAAGTAGGCAAAGATGCTTCATGTTTGTGCACGTGCTGAGTATCTGATGAAAGGAAATGGAGGGCTTCCTCTCGCACGCCACTAGCATATTATCACTGAAAACCCCAAAGAGCCTGTACATGAGAGTTTCGATCTTTATATACTGATGTGAAAGTGGTCAAGACAGGCTTGCATGTCCTCTGTGTGTTACTCATAGTGCAAGTCTGTTCACTTGAAAGAAGTAGACCTGTCCAGTGTTTGGTTTCATTTCAACAAAACGCCTACAATCTTCTCTCTGTCACTTTTGGGGGACTGAAAGGCAGCAACACCTGTTATTATCCACCTGAACAGGGTTGTGCTCTTCTATCAACTTTAATGCAGCTCTAACTGCAATGTGTACTAGAGCTGTTATTTCTAACCCGGACTCGCGCCCAGCCCGGACCCACGCCCAGCCCGGACCGAAATTCGGGCAAAATAATGTGCTGGATGGGCAGGCCGGGTCGGTGTTGGGCTTTTGATTGCATCAGTGGACGCGTGCGGTTGACTATCCAATTTGGATCACCTGGGCCTGTTATTACAGTTAATTGGTCAGTTTCGAGTCGGGCTTGGAAAAAATTATACAGGTTCGGGGCAGGCCAGGTCTGATTTTTTTTGGGCCCGAATGCAACTCTGATGTGTACCCCACAAGTTTTATATCAAAACGACGGGCCCGACACCGTGATGTGTGCCATTCCTTTTATTAACATTTTGAGTTACCATGGTGACATAATTCACAAAAGAAGATGCCATTTTTTTCAGTGAAAGAGACTGACAGAAGTTTTATGGGTTTCTAACTGCCACAGTGAGGTCACATGACCTAGAGTGAAGAGGTCTCTGAACAAAACACTGATTAACTTTTGGAGCCATTTTGGGTCAAGATGGCTGCCACAGCTACCTCAGAAAACTCAAAATTGACTATAACTCACTCGAGATATTGAGCTGAAATTTGGTATGGTTGTAGCTGAGAGTGAGTTGTTATACTTTCCTGCTGCAACTCAACAATCCAAGATGGCTGCCTGAGCTAAACAGGGAAAATACTATAAATCAGCCATTTTTATAGATACAGTATTGCACTGAATTTGATTGTGGTGGTAGCTGAGAGCAATGCCCAATAAACACAGAATTCAAACAAAAAAATTCAAGATGGCCACCAAAGTTAAAATTAAATAGCTTTAACTCAACTATGTTTACACATACAGAGCTGACATTTGGTGTGGTTATAGCTGACAATGTTCCCCATCACATAATGAATCCAAATCAAAACCCCAAGATGGCTACCTTAGCTTGAAAGAAAAATGACTACAATTTACTGTTTTTTTTATTTTATTTTATTTATTTTTATTTTTTTATTGAGCTGAAATTTGGTATGGTGGAAGCTGAGAACAATCCCCAAAACATAGTACTGTCAAATCAAAATTTTAAAATTGCCACAACGTGGCAGTTCCCACAAAGTTTCTCCAGGAACTTTCTAGTCGCATCTTAATACTTGTATTGGAGCATAAAACTCAAAAGTGGTTTACAAGTTCTTTTTTTAACGCTGCATGTCTCAAAGTTTGCAGATGACTTCCATCATGTGAAGCGTTTATTCAAACTTCAACATACTTTTTTTTGGCTTTCAGTTTTCAAGATTTACAAGTGACCATCTCTGGCTTATGTCAACTACCTGCTATAAATGTAAAACGTTGACATCCCATCATAGCAGATATTAGGCTAGGTGATGCATTGTCGTTTTTTTTATTAGTGTGGTAAATTGGTTAATTTAAGAAGGTTAAGTCAGATCATCGGGACGGATTCTTCTTTGGTGAAATGTTTCATCTTCAGTCTTCAGACTGAAGAAGTCTTTTGGATAAAAGACGAAACGTTTCACCAAAGAAGAATCCGTCCAGAGGACCTGACTTAACCTTGTTAGATTTTTCTACCTCGATTACTGAGCATGCATGAGGATAAATTGGTTAATGCTTTTCAACTTGTATCTATTGACTTGCAAATCTGAAGTTCAATATTTAACTGTAGACATCACAGTAAGGCATCAACAGAAAAAAGGATAAGGGAAAAAAGGAGCTCCTAAATGAAATTTCTGATTTCTAATAAATTGACAAGCATCGGTTATGCTTTCAACTAATTGACTATGTTGTAAAACTTGGTAAGAAATAGAACAACACAGTGTTCTTGGTGACTAGAGAAATAATTTTAGTTTAAAAAAAACTATATGATAACTTATAGGTAGGAATATCTTTGTAATTGTGCTTTTTATACTATCATTGTTGTTCATTTCTCCTTTGCTTTATATTTTTAGGTGGTGAAGTTGAAGCAGATTGAACACACACTAAATGAAAAGAAAATATTACAGGCTGTCTCCTTCCCCTTCCTTGTCAAACTGGAATATGCTTTCAAGGTACTGACGGATTTAAGAGATCTTGTTTTCTCCCTCACAGTGCGCCACATAACTAATAAGCTTATATTATTTAGAAGTACGCCGTTTGATTGGTGGACTGATTATTTCAAGTGGTTTTTGCTATTTCTTAAATACCCTGTATCAAGCACACCTGAGCCTATAAATCTGATAAATGGGCAGGCACTTGTGTGGGTTGCAAGGTGTTACTATACTTGACACCATGCCTTAGCGTGCTTTCCAAGGTAGGGTTTGCCTTATCCAAGAGAGGGGCTTTTTTAAATACAACACCGGTTAGGTCTCAAAGAAAGATGACCAGAATATTATGCTAATGTGTTTTTTTATGTTGTATTTACCTGGAATTATGTGAGATCTTAATTATTATCTTTCAGAGACATATAGTAAATTGGGTTTGTAAAAAAAAATTACTTTAAAGAGAAAATATAGCAAAATTTACATTTAGGACTACACTGATAGTCAGCATTTAATTACACTAGTAAGAATGTGCTATATACTCGGGCTAAATTGCATGCAAGCACAGTTTTTTTTTTTTTTTTTTTTTGTAATTTAATACATTGCAGTGCGTGTAAATATCAAATACAGTATATTAATATTTATGAGCCAAAAAAAGAAACAAATGTGCTTCATAAATCGACCAGTAGCTGCCGTGTTCTTTATGTTTGGTCAACATCCAGTACTATTTCACAGCAATGTTGTATGATAAAGCTAAACATACTTTTATTAAATGTAGTTTGAGCAACAACAAGAAATAATATCAGAACATTTTTACTATGTGATATATATGAATAATTTTATTTAGAAGTAAACATTTATTTCAATAAATATAAACAGCCAGGAAAGGATATTATTGGAAAAATATACTCTCGGCACCTTTTCCAGCTTTAGTACAGTATTCTCAAATTTGTTTTAATTAATAAAAATAAACAAGATACACAAATGTTTACAGCTCAGTGGTTCGTGCTCGAGATCAAATACTTTCAGCATTTTTGATAAACCCAGCCTGTGTCTTCTTTCTTGATTTAATGATCTAGTGCTTTTGTAATTTCCCCTCATCAACATCATGTTTTGTCATATGTTATAATCCCACAAAAGAATGCAGCTAAAGAAAATAAAACATTTTCAATGCAAGGCATGTGGTTGTTTCTAGTGACACTTTGTTTTGCTGTAAAACTTGTTCACATGTAAACCAACACTGCAGAATCAAACTCCTGCCATTAAATGAGATCATTAACAACTTGTATGTCATTTTACGTCTTCACTTTTTGTGGCAAAGTTCAAATGGGTTATTTATTGGTGTAACTGCAGAGGCTGGTGATTAAGCAATAGCTTCAGTTTTTTATTTGAAAAACAAAGATTCAAATTGAATTCTGTGTGTTAACCCATCCTGGTCCTTAGTAAAGCAGACATACACACAGGTTAGCATTGCATAAGAGGCTAAAGCTGTTTCCCTTCTGACAGGACAACTCAAACCTCTACATGGTGATGGAATATGTTCCAGGTGGAGAAATGTTTTCACACCTCAGACGCACAGGAAGGTTCAGGTGTGTTGCACATTATTTTTATTGTTTCTGTTAATTTAGTTACCTATTTTTTAGTAATTTGTCAGCCTCCTCATGCATAAATGTATTATGATGTCATCAGTATGTTGCTGTTTCCATGCCGAGGTCTTTTTTTGCAACTTTCACACTGTGTATCATCTCGTTACAGTGCGAGATGTGATTTTTTTTTTATACCTCCCCTCCCCTCGTGTTTCTCTTTTTCTTATCAAAACAAAAAGGGCAGTGCCTCCTGAAGGCTGCGGCCTCAGACACCTCCGTCTCCTTATGTCCCCATGTCTATTTGTTTATGTTTTCTCAGACGGGCTGTACTGAAATGTAATTTCGTTGTGCTTCGGTGCAATGACAATAAAGCTGATTCTTTTTCTGTTTGCACCTTTTAGTCAGAGGAGACACGTTTATGTCTTGCACCAACATTTACATTTTTGTCTTTTCCTCCCTTTTTTAGTGAACACCATGCAAGATTTTATGCAGCTCAGATAGTGCTCACCTTTGAGTACCTTCACTCTTTAGACCTCATCTACAGAGACCTGAAGCCTGAAAATCTGCTCATAGATCAACATGGATATATCCAGGTATCCAGTTTATGTGAGGCTAAACATAAAAAAATAATTTAAGCTGAAATGTATCGTATATTGACAAATTCTGCTTGCTAACTATTAGCTGATCATTCTTCACTCTTGAGACAGTAATCAAGCACACTCTATGCAAAGCACTTGGTATAACAAGGCAGCCAGCGTGTTTATGTAGACCTTTTGTAGATTAAATAAAGGTGCTTCAAAGAGCACTAGAAAAATTCAGTCAATAAAAGTCACATTTTGAAAATCTCGAACAAATTTTATGATTATGGCTATGGCTTTCAAGTGTTCCCAAATACATTTTACTTTTTTATGGTTGTGTTGTTGTTGTCCTCAGGTCACAGATTTTGGCTTTGCTAAACGAGTAAAAGGCAGGACCTGGACGTTGTGTGGAACTCCTGAGTACCTGGCTCCAGAGATCATCCTCAGCAAGGTGAACCCTTCATCTGTGAAACTACTCTGCAGCTGAAAGAAGCACACATTTAAGCCCAGAGAAGGGAACTAACTATGGGGTTCTTTAAGGCTCCTTGTCATACAGGAACTACTTTGTAAAATCACAGTTTAGAACTGTGGACTCAACAGTGGTTCACCCTTTGAGTTACTGTAGGTACCTCTTTTATGATTCATAGTTTAATGAGAATACTTTTTTGTTCAAAAATAGACTTAAAAACAAGTACTGAAACTATATAAAAACTAAAAAAGAAAACATTCCTTGAAAATCAAAAAAAGTCCATGCTCAATAATCCAGGTATACAATCCAACAATTTTCAGTCAGGTCATCTGGACAGGTTTTTTTTTTTTTTTTTTGCTGAAACGTTTCACCTTCCATCTGGAAGGCTTCATCAGTCAAGGAAAAACACAAGACAAAACTGATTCTTCCCCCAAACAGCTTACTCCAAAGTCAGAGTCAGAGTCAGAGTTTCTTTATTGTCATTCGCACCTCATGTGGTACATGTGGTGGAGTGAAATTATGTACACAGGGTCCCAGTTACATCCAACAATAAAATGTCTAAGAAAAATAGTAATAACATCTAAGATATGAACTAAGAAAAACATCAACTAAATATACACTAAGCACTCATAACATAAAAACATTGAACATCAGCACAAACATGAACATGAGTCTGTGTGAGCAGATGTGCACGCATGAACACATCAACATTGAAACAGATCAGCAGCAACACGAAACAGATCAGCAGCAACACGATATGGTTTTTCACAGTGATTATTCTAGTTAGAGGTTCATGAGTCTAACAGCCTCAGGGTAGAAGCTGTTCCTCAGTCTAGTGGTTCTACACTTAATGCTCCTTAACCTCCTTCCTGAGGGGAGTGGGGCAAAAAGTGTGTGTGCTGGGTGAGTGGGGTCCTTCATGATGCAGGTGGCCCTCTTCCTGCATCTGGAGGTATAGATGTCTGTGATGGTGGGGAGGCTGATTCCAACAGATTTCTGTGCAGCCTTCACCACTCTCTGCAAAGCTTTTCTTTCTGCAGCTGTGCAGCCTCCGTGCCACACGTTGATGCTCGAGCACAGGATGCTCTCCACTGCACACCTGTAGAAGGAGGTGAGGACTGAGCTTCCCAGACCAGCTCGCCTCAGCCGTCTGAGGAAGTAGAGTCTCTGATGAGCTTTCTTGATCAGGCTGGTCGTGTTGTTGCTCCAGCTGAGGTTGTCATTCATGTGGACACCCAAGTACTTGTAGCTGGAGACCACTTCCACCGCAGATCCTCTTATGTTCAGGGGGGTGTAGATGTTTTTGTTCCTTCTGAAGTCCACAATCATCTCCTTTGTCTTCTTCACATTGATGTGAAGGTTATTCTCTCTGCACCAGCTCTCCAGGTGTTCCACCTCTTGCCTGTAGCTGGACTCATCATTGTTTGTGATGCATCCCACCACCGCTGTATCATCTGCAAACTTTACAATGTGACAGCCTGGATGGGTAGCTGCACAATCATATGTGAGCAGAGTAAACAGAAGGGGGCTCAACACACATCCCTGAGGAGAGCCAGTGCTGAGGGTTATGGTGGAGGAGGAGAGGTTGTGGATCCTCACTAACTGTGGTCTGTTTGTTAAAAAGTCTAGTACCCAGTTGCAGATGGAGGGGCTTAGTCCTAGTGTGGATAGTTTGTCCATCAGGGTTTGGGGGATCATGGTGTTGAAGGCGGATGTGAAGTCCACAAAGAGCATACGGACGTAAGAGTTTTTCTGCTCCAGGTGGTTGAGCGCAGTGTGGACCACAGAGGAGATTGCATCCTCTGTTGATCGGTTCTCACGGTATGCGTACTGATGAGGGTCCTCGTTGATGTTGATGGTTGTTTTGATGTGAGTCATGACCAGTTTTTCAAAGCATTTAGCGACTATCGGGGTGAGGGCCACTGGCCGATAGTCATTCAGACCAGTCACTGTAGAGCTTTTTGGGACTGGGATGATGGTGGCAGTCTTCAGGCAAGTGGGAACTGTCTCCAGGGTAAGTGAGGTGTTAAAGATGTCTGCCAGCACCTCACAGAGCTGATCAGCACATTCCTTCAACACTTTTCCGGGGATGTTGTCTGGGCCAGTTGCTTTGTGCGGATTAATCCTCCTGAAGGTACTCCTTACTTCCGCTGAGGTCACGCTGAGATGCTCTTCATCCGGTGGTGAGGTGAGTCTGGTGCTGGGTGGTCTGTTCGGGTCTTCAAAGCGTGCATAGAACTTGTTGAGGGCATCAGGCAGAGATGGGTCTTTGGGGCATTGTTCACTCCTTCCTTTATAATCTGTTATGCACTTAATGCCCCTCCACATGCTCCGAGGGTCTTGTGAGATGAATTGACAAAAGTGGAACAAACCAGTTATGTTGGTGCTAAGATGGTGTCTTTGGCACGACCCCTCCTCTTGTGTCGGCCCTCTTCCTGGTCGACAGTCATGTCAAACTGGTTCGGAACCCCCCCAAAAAAAAAAAAAAGTCCATACTCAATAATCCAGGTATACAATCCAACAATTTTCAGTCAGGTCATCTGGACAGTTTCTTTTCTTTTTTTTTTTTTTGTTTCTTTTTCCTTTCTTTTTTTTTTTTTTTTTCTGAAACGTTTCACCTTCCATCCAGAAGTTTTCATCAGTTTTGTGTTGTGTGTTTCCTTGACTGATGAAGCCTTCCGGATGGAAGGTGAAACATTTCAGAAAAAAGAAAAAAAAAGAAACTGTCCAGATGACCTGACTGAAAATTGTTGGATCGTATACCTGGATTATTGAGCATGGACTTTTTTTGGTTTTGAACCCATTTGACATGACTGTCGACCAGGAAGAGGGCCGGCAAAAGAGGAGGGGGCGTGCCAAAGTCACCATCTTAGTACCAACATAACTGGTTGGTTCCACTTTGGAGTAAGCTGTTTGGGGGAAGAATCAGTTTTGTGTTGTGTGTTTCCTTGACTGACGAAGCCTTCTGGATGGAAGGTGAAACATTTCAGCACAAAAAAAAGAAACTATCCAGATGACCTGACTGAAAATTGTTGGATTCCTTGAAAATATGCATGTTTTTCTCCACCTTTCATAATATAGTTTTAAACTAAGACATGGTTTGAAAACAATAATCTCAATATCTGTAAAACTAACAGAGCTGTAGTCATTTTTGTCTTTCTAAATTTCATAACCTGTGGTTTTCATCTTGGATCATGTTGAATTCAAAAGTATATTATTAGTCTCAACATTATCATCAAGGGAATACTGGGAGTTTAATTAAAAGTTGTCCTCTAGTTTATGAGATATTTTGCTAACAAATCGACAAACAAATGCACAAAGACAAGTACATAATTGACTATTGGCAGCCAATAATTAGTTCCAATAAATATGACAGATTATCCTTTAGTAATGTGGCTCAATGGATTCCTGGGGTTGGGCCAAGTTTTATTTTTAGGGTTTTGAAAGAAACCTGACTATTCGCCATATTGGTTAAAATTCAAGACAAGTATGATAACTTGACCAAAGTATTAAATATGACAAGGTGCATTATTGTTCAAGGATTCAAGGTTCTTTTTTTTGTCATTTGCACAACATGTGGTACATGTGATGGAATGAAATTGTGTACACAGGACCCCAGTTACATCCAACAACAGTATAAAATGTAAAAAAAACCAATAAGATCTAAGATATGAACTACAAAAAACATTAACTACCAATACACTAAGCACTAGTAGTATAAAAACAATATGTCGAACAACAACACGAACATGAGCCTGTGTGAGCAGATGAGACGAATGAACACAGCAACATGAAACAGATCAGCAGCAACATGAAACAGATCAGCAGCAACATGATGTGATTTTTCACAGTGATTATTCTGGTTAGAGATTCATGAGTCTAACAGCTTCAGGGTAGAAGCTGTTCCTCAGTTTAGTGGTTCTACACTTAATGCTCCTTAACGTCCTTCCTGAGGGGAGCGGGGCAAAAAGTGTGTGTGCTGGGTGAGTGGGGTCCTTCATGATGCAGGTGGCCCCCTTCCTGCATCTGGAATGTAGATGTATGATGGTGGGGAGGCTGACTCCAACAGACTTCTGTGCAGCTTTCACCACTCTCTGTAAAGCTTTTCTTTCTGCAGCTGTGCAGCCTCCATGCCACACGTTGATGCTGGAGCACAGGATGCTCTCCACTGCACACCTGTAGAAGGAGGTGAGGACTGAGCTTCCCAGACCAGCTCGCCTCAGCCGCCTGAGAAAGTAGAGTCTCTGATGAGCTTTCTTGATCAGGCTGGAAGTGTTGTTGCCATGTTGGCATTGTTGGCATGTGACTCACAGAAAAAACCTCATACTTTGGAAATGTAAAGTTTCTTTTTTGTGTGTGATTTTTTTGTTGTTGTTGTTGTTGTTTTTCATTGTTTTAGCTGTTTCTGACAGCAACTGCTGAGCAGCAATTTGTACAGCAACAATTTCCAATGTGAATAATCGAGAGGTTCAAGAGAATGATTTCAATATTTTTGGATTACCAACGTTTATAAAAGTTAAACTGATTCTCAGTTGACAAAACTTTATTAAAGGCAGGTATTCTGTAGTTCCTTTGCTTAACTGGGCATAAAACTGAACGTACAGAGCTACCAATGATTCAAGAGGGCAGATAAATGGTTTCTGTTGTCTAACGGTGGATCGCCTTTCAGTGTTTGAGACAGCTGACTGAATTTAGTCAAGCTGAGTGTGTTTTGACTCAGACAAAAGACTGAAAGTCAGGAGCCTTTGATACAAGCAGGAATTAGAGCTGACTTGTGTAGAGAACTGGTGCATCATCACTTGGGGAAAAGTGAATGTTGAGCGGTTTAGATATCAGCCTGTCAGTCACAACGTATGTACAGCAAACAAAAACTTCTCATTAAGGTTAAAATACATCATGCCCCAAAACCGTACATTATCCTGTCAGGATTGTCGGAGGCAGAACTAAAGGCCCAAATCTGTTTGTTATAAATTTGTTGGGATGTTATTGTGCTAACACAATAAATATAATTGTTATTATATATATCTGCATTAGTTGCAAAAAAATAAGAGCTTTTTTCTTCTTCTAGGGCTACAACAAAGCTGTGGACTGGTGGGCACTTGGAGTTCTTATCTATGAGATGGCTGCTGGGTACCCTCCATTTTTTGCTGATCAGCCTATCCAGATCTATGAAAAAATTGTGTCTGGCAAGGTATGCTGTTGAAGTTTAATATTAAACAATGCATATTAATATACAGTGTATTTCATTGCTCTCAGGTTATGCAGGTTTGGCAGGGGTTCTTTTCTTGTCTTGACTACTATAGCACACCTTACGTACATCAGCCGAAGGAAAACAACCATTTCTGTCTTTCTTTGCTTTTCTAATTACCTTTGTTTTTTGTTGTAGGTACGATTCCCCTCCCATTTTAGCTCCGACCTGAAAGACCTGCTGAGGAACCTTCTGCAAGTGGACTTGACAAAGAGATTTGGCAACTTGAAGAACGGAGTGAATGACATCAAAAACCACAAGTGGTTTTCCACAACAGACTGGATTGCCATCTATGAGCGAAAGGTGAGACTTGATTTTACCGCTGGAGGGAAGGGAGTGTCATAACCAGTTTGTTAGTCTAGAAGCATGCTGTTTCACTACTTGTACATCTACTTTCTCAGGTTGAAGCCCCCTTCCTGCCAAAGTGCAGAGGACCAGGAGACACGAGCAACTTTGATGACTATGAAGAGGAGGACATTCATGTCTCACAAACAGAAAAGTGTGCAAAAGAGTTTGCTGACTTTTAGTGAACAGGGCAAGAGCTCCATCAGGGCTCTGCTGTTTTGGGATATTTGCACTCAGCTAAGGGTTAAGGTGGAACTTACATGCTCCAAATCGTTGCCTCGTTTCTTCATTCCACACAGCTGAATGAGGTTGTTTTTGCCATGCTCCCTCCTCCAGGTGCTGTTACCACTGATCGACCCGCAGACAAATTATGCAGACATCCCTTGGGCTGCAACGCAAAGTACTAGGCCACTTCCCCATTGTTTTTCTGTTGCCTTTAATGTTTGCAGCTTTTCAGTATCCTCACGTTATTTATTTCTTAAAAAGCAAGATGCAACACAAAAGTTACTTCCATTTACAGGTGGCACAGTGTAATAGTATTAGCTCATTTTGTGCATCTGGTGTGAATGAAGGGATTTATTTGATTTAATTTGTTTACTTTAATCTGTTTGTTACATTCTCCCATGTCTTTCAGGGATTGGTTGAGTATTTATCAATCAACACTGCTATCATTATTCATCATTCTGGTGTCCTTAAAACATGCAATCATGTGTGTTCATATAAGTCTAAGTAGTGCATTTTTAAATTTCTTTTTTAATCATGACAAAAATTTTAACTAAACTATTTTTTCAGTGACAGAAGAGGAACTCGTTTGTTTGCAAAAAATAATACTAGGAAGCAGAAACACTTGACTGCTGTGTTAGCTAATTAAAAGTTACATTGTTTATAACAACAAAGTCCATGCTCAATAATCCAGGTATACAATCCAACATTTTTCAGTCAGGTCATCTGGACAGTTTCTTTTTTTTTTTTTTTTTTTTTTTTGTGCTGAAACGTTTCGCCTTCGGTCTGGAAGGCTTCATCAGTCAAGGAAACACACAACAAAACTGATTCTTCCTCCAACAGCTTACTCCAAAGTGGAACAAACCAGTTCTGCTTGTGATAAGGTGGTCTCTTTGGTACGCCCCCTCCTCCATTGCCAGCCCTCTTCCTTGTTGACAGTCTTGTCAAACTGGTTGAAAACAACAAAGTCCATGCTCAATAATCCAGGTATACAATCCAACATTTTTTGTTGAGTTACATTGTTTATCCATATCTGATCACAGGGCATTTCCTTTTTACTTCAGTCATTTAAAGTTGTTTTTAATTCATGGAAGGAAATTGTGTTTTTCGAGTACACGTCTATATCACAAGAACTGAATCTGACAACATTCGTGTTCTGTCTCTGCACACAACAGATCATTTGTTTTAGGTACTTTAAAAAGCTATACATAACTATTGACGTGGCATTTTTCAATAGCTGAAAGGTCAGTTTGTTAGATTATCATGAATCCAAAGCAGTCGTGCTCATAAGGACAAATTTTGGGTTGTTTTTTTTTTTACTCTGAGCAGAGCACTCTGCACCTGCTGTGTGTTTTATTTCTTCTTCTTTCTTTTTTTTGTTGCATGTTTTTGTAAAGCCGTGTCACATGAAGCTAAAAGTGTTTCTACCCTTTTTTGTTTGTTTATTTGTTTGGATGTTCTCTTACCTTTAAACTGTGTCGCAGCATGTGAAGATAAAGCAGCAGAACAGATAGTTTGACCTGCAGGATGAAATCCCATCAACATCAAATCATATTTAATAGCTCAATTCAAAGAAATCATAAAGTGTTCATTTAGCTTCGTCATTCCTGGACTGACCCGTGCGCTTATTGCAATCATAACTTGCAGATTGTGCTTCTTTTTCCAAACCAAATTGCTAAAGATTTACTTCTTCGGCTTTGCAAGACTTAATCGTGTCAAATTGACAGCGCCAATGGGCTTTTTTTTTTTCTCAAGGAAATAGTGTCAAGATCTAATTTTTAAGTGTCAGTTCTCATTAGACTTTTTATTAGCATTGTTTCCTCATTTATAGAAATGCAGCTTTTATTAGGGATTCGTATGCACTTGGCAACATTCAAAGTGTTGCCTGTTCTTGCTGCAAAAATGTAGTCTCGCTCTGCAAACTCCTTTTTATTCTGACAGAACACCATAATGCATCTGAAGAATATAAATGTTAGAAGTATGGTACGTACACAGGCGCTGTGTCTTCTTGATGGCTTTTCTTTCTTCCAGATGGCAGACAAGTTGTGTTTTTGTAAACTCTTGCTTAAGAGACGTTCCTTTCTCTCTCTGCTCGTCAGCCACAGAGAAATCATAGTTTGAAATTGTTTTCTTTTTTCTGGTTGGACCCTCAAGGTTGTGGAGACATTGAAGGGTTAAAAATGCACTGTCGACTGTCAGTTTTAAGTCCACAAACTTGCCGTAACAATTAAGTTTGTAAAAAAAAAAAAAACTGTCTGAATTAGAACATTTTTCTAATCTGAACACATGACATGTTTTATGTAGCCCTAATCTAACTCAAAGACACAGCTACTTCATGGTATGTTTGTTTTTTCATATTTAGAAATGTCTAAAATGTTAAAAATTTATGGGGGTCTCAGTCAGTGAAAGAAGATCTAAAAAGTTTTTATTTTCCATAAAAAATATGAAAAGTAAAAATGTGTAATTATTTATTTGAAAAATACATATTATATATGCACATTGACATCTAATGAACATAAAAATAGATTTTTATTAGGTTTTTTTTTTCCCTTAGGAAATCAACTTTATCCATGGGCATAAATTACATTTACAGGTTGAACAGATGCTATTTCCAAATACAATCAATTTTAGAAACAAGCTTGTGTTTGATTCCTCCCATAAACTGTAGGATATCCACAGCTTTTCTTTGACATCATCTGTTCACTCCTCTTCTGTGTGTTTGATGTTTGCTGTAAATGACGGCACCTTTTCCTCCTGAGCCACTTCACTCTAACTGAAGGAAACCAGTTTTGAGTCCTTGTAGCTAGTCACACGTGCCAGTATGGGTTCAATAATCTGAAATGTGTCTGTATTTAGTTTATGAAAAAAAAATTGCACATCACTTAGAATGCTGACACATTTTTCCCATTCATATTTACTTGTGTTTGCAAGGGAAACATACTTTGCTGTAGCAGATTTTATGTAACAAAGGATACGTCATTATAATAAAACTCATTTTTTAATATGTTTTTACTTTTCTGTTCTTCATGGGCTGTCTTGAGTCTTTTTGCTGTCATTAAAACGGTGCCGCGTTCAATCGGTCAAACTACATTTCCCAAGATTCTCTGATGTCGTAGGCAGAGGAAGCGAAAGCGACGAAGCTAGTTGTCTTACTTGATTATAAATTGATTTTATCAACTAAATATCGCTGTTTTTAACTGATAAAATATTATAGTGATCACAAAACTTTTTCCTAATTAAATTAAGTTTTCAGCTTGAACGAGAAGCTGTTTTCAAGTCACAATCTCCTGAAAATAAGGTAAGTGTTAAATATGGCGTTAGCAAACGAAGCTAACTATCTTTCTAGCGTCACAAATTCCCGATAGGGAACGATTAAATATTCTTATCGTTAAAAGTAACGCTAGTTCTTATTGTGGTGTCTTTATTTAAGTATGTCTTACTCAAATACAAATGTTGCGTGGTTGGTTTTGTTGTATAACATTTTTTCCTATTTATAATTCAGCTACCGTGAGTTTCTCGTCGTCATTTAATAATTCCTACTGGTATTTATTACTGATAAAATCATGGTTTGGTTTAATTAAGCAGTATATCTGTTGCTTTAGTGATGCCACTATGCTGCTGTTGTTTTTCAGCGGAGATCTCTTCGGTGGATGTCTTAAAAAAGACAATGATCGCGTTTGATTTGTCAAAACATTGAGTTGTTCCGAGACGTCTGATGAAAAATTACTACAACGATACAAAATGTAAGTACTTAAACTAGAAGGAAACACACTAATTATTCAACATGAAATCTGCCCGATAAGAAAATAAAAGTTGGGGCTTTTATTTTTTTTAATCAGCTGGTGTACCGATTTTCTGCTCTAAACTCAGAAAAATGTTCAGCATGAATGAGAACTTAACATTTAAGATATAATATACATTAAACTGAATAAAAGTAAGTAACATTAAAGGTGAAGCCATGATTTGTTAGATGCTCAGTCCACAGTGCATAATGTAAGAGTATTAACTTTATTTAGTCATTTAAATCTCCTTTTAGCCAAGTAACGATATACAAATATTTTTACATTAAATTTTTCAGAGCAGGAATTTTAGCACTGAATCAGAATTATCATTTTATGTCTAGTCGTATGGAAATGATTCTAAAGTGGATCATAATCGCAAAGATTTTGTTTTCAGAGTTCACTCAAAACTATTTAAAGATCATGATTTGTTTCTTTAATTAATCATTTTTGTGGCTCATCTGGGAGAGCACTGTGCTTTTAACAGGTATTATAAATGTAAGTGCTAAACAGATAAACAAAAAAAAGTTTTCTAAAAATGTTTAAATGCGGATATTTTCCCATCATCATTTCTGCTTGTCTGATTTGATAATTAGATTGTTATAATAAGTATATATGCTTTTCTTGTGATTTCTTTCAACAGCCAGTATGGAGGAAAAGGCAAATGGCTCAGTCGACACCAAAGGGTATCCTCGAAAATGAGCTTATTACGTTTTCTGTAACATTTTAAATCATTTATTGAGTTGCTGTTTTCAATCAGTGTGCTTTAAGGTGAAATTCTTAACTTTCACCCCACAGCCCAGTGGAGAATGGTCAGCTGCCAGATCCATCAAACTGGGGGGTTGCTGACGTTGTCAATTATTTCAAAGCAACGGGGTTTGAGGAGCAAGCCACAGCTTTCCAGGATCAGGTTGATCGTTTTGCTTTTATTACACAAAACTACAGTTTCATTGTGTTGAAACTATCAGATCTTAAGCTAATTTCTTTCTGCCTTTACCTGGTAGGAAATCGATGGCAAGTCCTTGCTCCTGATGACACGTAACGATGTCCTAACGGGGCTGTCAATAAAGCTTGGTCCTGCACTGAAAATCTACGAGTACCACGTGAAGCCGCTGCAGACTCAGCACCTGAAAAGCAACGTCTCGTAGCACCGCGGACCACCACCACCCACCTCAGTGACAATCATCAATGTCAGGTGACCTCCCCTGGTTAGCTGCAGCTTCACAAAGACTCCACTGCCTACAGTGGCACTTTAAACAAGATTCCAAAACGAAATGGTTGGCACATGGTGTCCACTCAGCTGTTTACCCGTTTAGCCATTCGTATTTCTGCTGCTTGAGATAAGTAATTTTTGTATTTGTTTTATTTAAAAGGAAGGAACTTTGGAGTGAGTACTCTGCAGGTATGATTTATGTGTGTTTGTTTGGTTTATGTGTGTGCAAAGTCAATTAACCTAAGATGTTTTTTTAAAGAGTATTTGTATATAAGATGATATATATATAGTTGAAAATTCTGTTTGTTGTGTCATGCGTTAACTTTTTTAATACATCCTGAAAGTTACGTACATTAATTTATTTTCCCTAAATTCATATTATTTGTTTATAAACTGCACATCTGAGTCCATGAGTTGTCCTGAGCATGTAACAAAGATGAGTTTACTCCTCCCGTATACAAGAACCCAATGAAAAAGCCCCTGATTCTTCCATTATTTGAGCTTGAGGCTTTCATTATAAAAATATTGTGTAACTTTTCTTACCATGTACCTACCCGTGGTGCTTTCAGCTTTGTTGCTCTGACTGTACTGAAGTGTTTATGACCAACATATTTGTGAATAACAACACTGGAGTTTGAATATCTGGATTTGTTATAAATGGTGCTCCTTTCTCACCAAACAATGCAAATTTGACTTTATTGACAGCAATTTTATAATATGTCATGTCTGGTTATTAGAAAAATACTGCAGCACAGTTCATATTTATTTTTATCTAAATAGCAAGTAAAATTGAGGAGATTGCAGAAGCTTCTTTATCCTCAAAGTATCCTTTAACTTTATGACAAGAAAGTTGGGAGGAAAAAAATGACCACCTTACATAACTACTGAAAAATACAAGTTATTAACATTTTTGTCAACTTTAAAGTAGTGAGTTCTTTAAAGCTGTCTAAGCCTGAAAGGAAAGTGTTGCATTTAAATTGCTTTTTTTTTGTTTGTTTTTCTAGCTTCTCAGGGGTGTTTATCTTCTTTGAGACACAATTTTTTTACTTATTTTTAAAGTTGCAGTCCAGAGATTTTGGTGCTGAAGAAGACTACACACTTACAGCTTCTTGCATAAAATCATTGCAACCATTGCATCATTTCAGGTCTCTCTTGTAAATGAGTCCTCGAGGCTTGATGGGATTAACTGGTCTAAATAAAGGTTGAATGAAAATTCCAACTCTGGATTAAAACAAATGCATTAAAATCTTAGTGCACATTGTTCCATTATTAAAGTAAAGGTAGTAAAATAAAATGTTAGGGGGGTCTCTGTCAGTATACACCTGACCGCTTCAGTCATGTTTGGCAAGTTTTAAGGGTCACCGTTGTTTTCAGAATTTAATTATCCACTTTTGATCAAATTATCTTTTTTATTAGGTCATTTGCGTAAATATCTGACAGCGTCAGTACTTTGAGGTTGTGTTGAGGCGTTCAAAGTCGGGCTCTCTGTTTCCGACGCACCGTCCCTGTGATGTTTCCAGAGGGATTATCCAGAGGAAGAAGTACCTGATGAAACATATATATGTATAAATCAATTATCAATTTCATCCACAAAAAAGAACTAAAGAATTTATGTTAAAAAAAAAAACAGAAGTTACCTCGTCTTTGTTGACAAGACCCATTTTCGTCATGTCGATGGTGAAGTAGTGCTGGTTGGGCATGACGATCTCTATTTCATCCACCTAAAATAAAACATGTTGATTGTATGTTGCTTACAACTATACAATAAATATTTGAAATAAAACCCCACACATAAAAACACATAAGGGGTGGAATAATGTGAAGTAGGAGACTGACTCACTGCTTTGTAATGTCCAGAAATTGCACCAAAGACAGTATTTATGTTTATATTAGATATTCATGTAAGATCTATTGGACCCTACCTCAGGAACTCTGTCCAGAACCAAAACCTGAGTTTCATAAAGAGTCTTCTGCACGGATGGTGAATACTCTCCACAGTGGTAGGGACCAGCAAACTTCTCAATAACCGTATCCTTCACACACTTCCTATATTAGTGATAAAATCATTATTTGCGATGAAATCACTGTGTAATCTTTTCCTGCGTTTATAGTTGCAAACCTTTATAAGAAGTGCATGTTCTCGATTATATTTACCACGCAGCATCGAAGTCGACATCCTGAGTCTTGTTGTAGCGCCACCTGGAATAGACAGTGGTGCAGAAACACCTGTCCTTGGTCTCTTGCAGCGTTGTGAAGCGGTCTCGGAGAAACCCCTCAAAACCAGACTGGGTGGTTTTTAACACCTTCATGTCCTTCACCCCACTGTGAAGCACAGGAGGACCTGTGTGGAGCACGGAGCCAGTGAGGAACTAAACATTTTTTATGTTTACATGGAAATAGACCTACAATTCTGAGTGAAAATGAACAAAGTTAAAGGTTTTGGTGTAAGCCTATAGATCACTAACAGCAGACTCAAACAGGAAGTCTTAGAATGAAGCACAAACCAAATGGTTCAGGGCTATTCAACTAAATTGAATAGCCCTGAACTAGGGGGCCAGACATTCAGCAGTTAAAGTCATTAAGTAAGTTTGTTTTATGGTTTAAAATCTAGTTTTATTTAAAAGTGAACCCATTGATGGGCTGAACTGAGATCACCCATGGGCCTGATCTGGCCCCCAGTTGAATAGCCCTTTAGTGGTTTGATTCCTCGTGTTACATGGGCATGCATCCCAGCTCCAGAGTTAGAGGAAATGTATGTGCCATCACAAGATTTTACCTCTAGATCAAATAGACAAGTGTAGCTTAAATTGAATAGTGCAGTCATTTTTTTAAGCAGATGAGGTTGTTTTACCTTTCTACAAAAATAAAAAGCATGACCCAAAATTCATTTTTCACCCGCAGGGTTTAGAAACCCCATCTTTAAGTGTCTAAATCTGAGATTACCATCAAGGTTCTGCTCGACATCACAGAAACGACAAGCTTCGGGGCTGTAGATAAATGCGTGAACGTGCTGTACCCCATTCTGAGGAAAAAAAAGAAAAAAGGTTAATTTATTGAACTGTTTACACTTGAATATATTTCAACAAGGTTATCTGTACGTGGGAGACAGTAAGTGATTTATAGTCAGCCATTAAAAAAAAAAAAAAAACTCATAAATTCTGCCTCCTTCCCCGGAAGTCATATTTATGGCACCGACTTCATAATGGTAAAAAATAAAAACTGAGATAACATCCAAAAGCATACAGAGTTCAACACAACAAAACATTTTGTGGGAGGGAACATATTTGTTAGTCAAGTGTTTTGGTTAGAAATATTTATAAGAGTTATTAATAAGAGTTTGTGTTCTTTGTCAGAGACAGCTTCCCCTTATAAGTAAAACATGAACATTTCTGCCATGTTTGAGGCAGATTTTTTTTAACTCATCGTGTCATCCATCCATTAGACTGTGTTTACCATGGAGGTCACTGGTGCCTATATCCAGCCACCACTGTGAGAGGTGGGGACACCCTGGACAGGTCTCAGTCCATCACAGAGACAAACAACCATTTACTCTCTCACCTAGGGACAATTTAGAGTTACCAATCAGCCTAACATGCATGTTTTTGGTCTGTGGGAGGAAACCGGAGTACCCGGAGAAAACCCACGCATGCACGGAGAGAACATGCAAACTCCACCCAGAAAGGCCCCCGGCTGGGATTCGATCCATCGACCTGCTCGCTAAGAAGCCGCAGATCTACTGACTGCGCCACCGTGCTGCCCCTCATCTTGTCAGTGAATGTAATTTTAACAGGATCTTTAATTCTCTGATGTGTTCTGGATGTGTCCTTGTGTTTGACATCTGGAACTTCCCTCAGAGCATTCGTCCATCAGACACGTTTCTGTTGCAGTTAGAAATAGTGAACAAAAACGTGTTTTTGTTCATCAGAAATGTGTAAATGTTTGCATATAAAATAAAAAATGTCAAGTTTGTGTTTAACTTTTAAATTTGGTGTTTTGTTTCTGCGCCACACTTTTTTGTAATAAGGGAATGCATGACGGTGCTGGGTGGCGCAGCAGTTAGGGCTGTCGCCACAACAAGAGGGTCGCAGGATCTCTTTCTGGCCTTCTGCGTGGAGTTTTCATGTACTCTCTGTGTGCGCATGTGGGTTTCCTCTGAATACTCCGTTTTTCTCCCACAGACCAAAAACATGCGTGTTTGGTTAATTGCTAACTTGAAATTGTGTGAAAGTGTGAATGGCTGTCTATCGTTTTTTTGTCTTTATGTGTCTTTATGACAGACTGGAGACCTGTCCAGGGTGTCCCCCACCTCTCGCACAGTGACTACTGGAAATAGACACTAGCACTCGGTGAAAGAAGGAAAAAAAAGTTTTAAAAAAAGAATGAATTATTGGATGGATTTGAGTGCTGTCAAAACAGCAGAGCCATCAGTCAGTTAATGTGTTTCTTCTTCAACCAGCGTGTTAATATGTAGTGTCTAGTCAATTTGTTGGTTAACCCATTTTCATGAAAATGGGATTGCTTGCTTCTCAGGATGGGCATTAAAAATAATCCACGTGAACAGAACAAAAGGCTTTAATGACTGGACCAGACCTTTGAATCTACCATCTACATCAGGTCACTATCAGCAGGTAAGCCCCCAACACCTGCCACATGAAAAACTACATGCTAAATTGTGATCATTTGCAACCTCTGAGACATTACCTGATGCTTTTTATTACAAACAACAGTAAGAAGTAAGCAAGTGCAATACTCGCTGAAAGGTTTTTATTCAGGTTTTGTGTAAGTATTTCTTATGACTTGCTGAGCTTTAAAGGACCAGCAGCTCATCACTTGATCCAGGTTTCGTTTTAAATATTAATCCTTGTCTGAACAATGAGTTACTTGAATTACCAACATCAACACTTTGGACTCCAACTTAGGTGTAAACTGTTGAGTGGTTTCAGTAGATTTGATCTGTTTTTGTTATTTTAAATCTGAGTGCTTTAAAATGATATCTGAATGAGCAAAAGAGCAACAACAAAACAGCTGGAAGAGTTGTATTTTGAAGAAAAGTGAGCTCTAATTTTTTTATTTTAGTACATAAAAGAGGTAAAGCAGTTTTGTTTTTTGGTTGGTTTTTTTTTTTTGTAACACAGTACCAAAAAAGTGGATACAATAAAATCAGCAAAGAATAAAACCTTTAAAAAATGCCCAATCATTCTGATGAACTGTATTTTAGAGCAAAGAATTTAATATGATTTTTTTTTTCTCTCTCTTTTTATTCAACCTTTATTTAGACAGGTTAATCCCATTGAGCCTCGAGGACTCATTTACAAGAGAGACCTGATTTCAACAAAGAATGATGACAACAATGGACAACAGTGACAGTAGTAGACAGTTATAAAAAGGCATACAGATTTTTTTTTTTTTTACAAATAAGATGGTAAAAAATGTTAAATAAACAGCTAGATTATAAGATGAATGGAGAAAACTAAAAACAGGAACATGTCTGCATTTTTTAGTTTTCTACATTCGCCTTATAATCTAGCTTTTATAAATCTAGCTATTATTAATAAAAAATAGATATAAAAAGGTTAAGCTGTTTCTTGTAGCACACAGAAAAAATATACCATACAACAACTAATATTAAGGGTAAAAAAAATGAAAATTCTGATTCTTATACAGAGAAACAGACTCAAGTGTCTGCTTCTGTTTTTTAAATTATTCTTTTACAGCCTCTCCCATTTTACTTTACATTATGAGGCTTAATTTATCTAAAACATTATTTAAATTCCAGAATATATTAACGAAGTATGAAAACCCTTCTTTTGAATGCGTAACAGTTTTTATTCTAAGTTAGGATTCCTAACTTCTGTTCCAGTAACTAACCCATCTAAACCTTTTTATGTTTGTGAGAAGAGACAAAGAATTAAGAGATTGATCAACATACAGGTACCGTATTTTTCGCCATATAAGTCACAACTTTTTGCATAAATTCGCAAATCTTGTGACTTATACACAGAAGCAACTAATATAAGTTTTTTCCCCATATTTATAACCCAATTTTTGGCTGAGATTTGACTATTTCATTCATTCTGACATGGAAAATATTCAACACTACCATTTTCAGCCACTAGAGGGCCCTTGACTAATATGGAAAGCCAAGTGTCTCATTAATAGGTAAAAGTGGCTATTAATGAGACACTTGGCTTGCCATACAACCACTTTCGTCATGCTCCAGAACTCCTGGATCAAACGTCAAATCAGCTGCATTTTGTCACACTGCCCAGGTGAAATACAGCTGATTTGACCATTAAAGTGCATTTATTAAGGAAAAGTTCAACTTAGACACACCTCTACTATAATGTTGAGCGAACAAATAAATGTTTTTAGGTGGTTATCTTGTTAAATTTCGAAGAAATGCACAGCGAGTCCTCCCTCTGGTCGCTCCGCAGCTGTGAATCGATTTTTGAAATGCAGCTAATTTGACCATTAAAGTGCATTTATTAGGGAAAAGTTAAACTAAGACACACCTTTGCTATAATTTTGAGCAAACAAATAATGGTTTTTAAGTGTTAATCTTGTTAAATTCTTGTTAAAGTCCTACCGTGCACGCTCCCGCAGCCGCCATTTGGCAGCAAATCAGTTTTGGGCACAAAACCAGCCCACGTTTCCAGGTTGTCAGTGGTGACTCGTAACAAACGCGACGCATCAGCATAATAGATGCCACTTATACGGCAATGCAATGTATTTATGGATTTTTCCACTTTAGTAGACATATTTGGACTGATGCAACTTATACGGCAGTGCGACATGTACGACGGCAAGTACGGTAATTGGAAAAATTCAAACCACAGCATGCAACTGAGAAGTAAATATGTTCCCAAAAAATTTTGCTGTATTGAACTGTGTACACCTTATCTATTTCATTTTAAAGATGTGGTTGCTTTAATGCACATTAATCCCTCTGCCTCTTACATCACATATTGTGACTTAAGTAGCGATCCGATTCCATATTTTGTCTTGGACTGAGTTATGTGTCTTCTTACCTTCTCCAGCCTCCTCCATGGAGCTTCCTCCATGTACACTTTGGCCCTCAGCACATGGTTGAAAGAGGTGAGGAAATGTTGACAGATGTCCAGTGAGAACTGCTCAATGGTTTTTACCTGAGCAGACAGAAACAGGACAAGTAAATCTGCAGCAGTTTGAGGCACACCTATCTTCTACAGCTACACTACCTGAGGTGTGCAAATGAACCCTTCCAACCTGTTTACACCTAAACAGCATCACTGAAGTCACAAGATTATAATCAAATATAGAAACTTCTCGCATCTTTAAGTCTGTGCTAGAGCTGCCTCTAAGCACATCCTCACAGCGTAATTTATTCTACAAAAACTTACTGTTTCAGTAAATTAGTTTACTCTAAAAAGTGAATTTTTCCAAAGGACTGTGTGTAAGTTTAGAAATCTATATTCAGTTTTCAGCTCATCATTTTTTTCTTTATAAATTTTGCAAGAAGCTGAGTAATTGCCACTGTTACCCTTTACGCCTTACTTGAATTTAATCCTTTATTCTGAAGTAATAAAACAAACAAGTTTATGAAATTTTACATTGTCCCTGTCAGTTTTTACTTTAATAAGGCTGTAAGTGGAAGTATCTCCTTGTTGTACAGTTTGACTCACTCCTTTGATTTTGGCCAGAGCATGGACAGTGTTCTTGATGGTGTCGGTGGGAATGATGTCCGCGTTGTCTCCAGTCAGGTAGTCCTTGCGCGACCTGAGTGTGAGCTCCACGTTGGCCTTCAGCTCCAGGATGTAGTGGTGGCTCCCCCGTCTCTTGATGAGCAAGACCCTCACGGCGTTCTTGCCGTAGCCCGTTCGGACAAACTCCACGTTCTGCACGAAAAGATGTTTGACATTTTACAGTAACGTCTGTGTGTTTGTGGCAGAAGAGCATATACTAATTCACGTTATGTGAAGTCTTAATAAGTTTCTGTTGCTCTGATCAGTTTGCATTTTGTGAGCGTTTAATTTGACTTTTTGTTAGAAACGGTTCATTTCTGTAATCAGTCTGTCAAAGCCGCTTTGACTGAGAAGGTGAAAACAGAAAATATTCAGTTAAGCCCTTCTTAACAGAGATGTTTAGTCATTTCATAGCATTAGGGTTTGACTTTGGTTCCCATGTCTAAAAACTGCAGGTTCTGCTTTAGCCTTGTGGTCACTGACCCCAGAAATTAGGTAAACTAAAAAAAAGTATTATTCTAATTGATTTCCTCTTTTGAAGCACATTTTAATAAATGTTACCTGGTGTGCTGCAGTTGCCATGACGCTTTCTTCTGCTTCACTTGATCTCTTTTCTTGGTCTCCAGCAAGAAAGGATCTGTTGATGGTTGAAGAATATTTTGTACAGAGGGTGTAGCTACCTTTGCCCTCACACTATTGGTCGTTGCAGGTAAAGTTCAACCCTTTTTACTTGTACACAATGGGGCACTCAAACATATAGATTTGCACACAAATATATATAAGATTTCATAGAAATTATTTAATTATGTATTGAAATGAACTCTTAATAAATTGTGCCGTGGAAAGATTTACCATCGTCTCAGTTTACATGTTCTTCCCCCATTTCATGGAAATTTATTCAGTTCTAAAGAAACTGTAATTAAAACATTATTGGTCACATGGGAGTGTGTCAGAGACTTTAACCAAATTGTACCCTACCAACCCTAATTTTTCATCATACTAGAATTTTAAAAAGTTTAATTATACTTAAGATTACATGAAACATTATGAAAGCAATGGTAGATATGTTTAAAACAAAGCATTCGGATAATAAACTATACTATGAATAGCATAAATGTAACGTAATAAAAAATGTCTGGTCAGTGACATAAATTTGCAACATCTGATGTGTGCTCTTTTTGTAAATAAGTTTAAAAATGTGTTAAATTGTGTTGAATTTTGTTACAAACCCTATGAAGTAACATATTTTCTGCTAAAATAAAGGTGCCAAATCCACACTCTAAAAGTTCAGAAAGGTTCTTTCAAATAAATAAATAAATTATTGATTCAATTATAATGTCAATAAATTTTGCTTTTGTGTTTATTTATAATTTGTTTGCAGATTGTGAACCTTTATTTATACATACATTTTCATTCAACCTTTATTTATACAGGTTAATCCCATTGAGCCTCGGGGACTCATTTACAAGAGAGACCTGATTTTAACAAAGAGTGATGACAGTGGACAACAAAGACAACAGTAGACAATCATAAAGGATGTGTACAGATTTATTTATTTTAGCAAGTGAAAATAAAATAATTAAAAGGAAAAGTAGCAACAAAAAAAACAGCTAGGTTGTAAAGTGATGTAAAATACTAAAAACAGGAACATGTCTGCATTGGTTCTTGCCAGGAACGTAACAGATGTTTGAAGCCACTAAGAGAGGTCAAGGTCGAGAGCTTCAAATCTTTTTGCAAGATGTTCCAGGAAACAGGAGTGGAGCAGGAGAAGAACCTTTTGCCAAGTTCAGTCCTCACAGAGGGAACACTGCAGGTAATAATGTCCTGAGAGCGCACGCTGTAGCTGCACTCACGCAGTGACATGTAGTCTTAGATGTATGAAGGCAACAGACTGTAATTGTTACATAAATATCCATCCATAAGATAAGATAAGATAAGATAAGATAAGATAGAACTTTATTGATCCTGCAGGAAATTGTTGTGCCAGAGTTTCAATACAAAGGAACATACACAAGGAGTCACACAAGATATAAAAATAACAGAAAATATAAAAATACAAATAATTAAGGTCTAAAACAGGTCAGGTGCAGACAGAAACATTAAAATGTTTATTGTAGTGCAGGATTAATTTTTATTGTCCATGGTGTAGAAACGGGGAGGAGTTGAAAAGGTCGATAGCCACAGGGAGGAAGGACTTCCTGTGGCGTTCTGTGGAACACATCGGTTGTCTAGGTGCTGTGGTAAAAGTCCAGTGTGGCATCCATCCATCCATCCATCCATCCATCCATCTTTTACCTGCTTCTTCCTTTTTGGGTCGCAGAGGTCACTGGTGCCCATACCCAGCTATCATTGTGCGAGAGGTGGGGGACATCCTGGACAGGTCTCCAGTCCATCACAGAGACACATAGAGACGAATGAGACAACCAACCGTTCACTCTCTCACTCACACCTAGGGACAATTTAGAGTTACCAATCAGCCTAACATGCATGTTTTTGGTCTGTGGGAGGAAACCGGAGTACTCGGAGAAAACCCACTCACACATGGAGAGAACATACAAAATCCACCCAACTGCGCCACTCTGCCTAAAGGTATCTTATTTACAATTTATTTATAAATTATTCAGTTTTGATTAATTTAACTGTGTGGGGGAAATAGTAAATTTAATTTATGCATTTTTCCTGCCAAAATTTCTTCTTCTTTATTTCCAAATTCCCCTAACAAGACAGACATTCAGGTTAGTAAATGCAATTTTTAATGAATAACTGAGGTTTCTGTTGTAAAATGAGGCCATTCTTTGTCATACATAAATGAAAATGTTTGATTGCGTGACTTTAGCACTTTCGCACTGAGATCATTTTAACCGAGCGGTCTCCAGTTCAATGATCAGCAGCTTTGTTGCTAATAATAAAATCCGTCCGGTTTCACTGAGAAGCTGCAGGACGTGAACAGGAACAAATCGTTCAATGTGAAGAACAATCATTTGTTATACAATGTCTGAACAAAATATAAATGTGATCAGTAAAAGCTTGAGAGAGGAAAATGCTAACATTTATTTGTTCTGACTCAGTGATTTCATGTCTCCTTGTCATGTGATTACATCTTATGACTTCCTTGTTTTGCACTTCCAAGCAGCTGTACATCTTCTCTCTAAACCACAGTCAGAAAGCACACAAGCCCCAAATAAATTGCAGGTTTCCTCTTTTCTCTCATTCACTGATGTTCTCTTCAGCGCCTCGAGTCTCTCAGGATGGTCTCACACGTCACCTCATGGTTCCACACAGCTGTCGTGTTGTTGTGTTTTACACTGAGCAGAACTGATGTTTCCTGCAGGAATGAAGCAGGCCAACCTGTTGACTGGTGAGTTGATACGATGCAGAGCAGTAATCGCACTGTTGCAGTTTTTAATTTATTTATTATTTTTATCTTGTCTTTTTCAGGTTCATCATCTACAAACTGCCCAAGTACAGGATTGGTGAGGTTGGCAGTGGAGTAGAGTACATGTACCTGGACTCATCCGTTGGAAGCTGGACGATGAGTAAATTCACAGTGAACAACAGCCAGGGAGCTTTGGGAAACACTTTGAATCAGCTGTATTTGGGAAAGACTTATATGGTGAGATGATTTCAATCTTCTTAATGGGGGCCTCAAATAATTCTAATCTGTGGTTATGTGGTAATAAAATTTACGTTGGGAGGAAGTTTACTGAGTTGTTTCCTTCATGGATTTGACTCAAACGTCAGTCAAACTTTAACAATCTTCCAAAATTTTCAGCTCACATGTTGCTTTCAACGCTGTATTAAGAATGGAAATTAAACTATAAGTCTCAACGTTTTTTATATTTTAAAAGAAACTTGCAATTTTTTTTAGTAAAATATTCCTAAAACACTGGAAACAAATGACATCCTGAAAAGTGAACTTCCTACAAGTCCTCGTTGTATAACACAAGTCTTTCTTCTAGTCTAACAACTTCATCTACGCACTCTACAACGATGGACCTCCAGTCCTGAAATACATCAGGGGATATGGACACACTAAAGGTTTGTAACAGTGAAAAAATAATTTTAATTTAGATTACGGAATTACTATTAAGAATTTATGAGAGTGCAACAAATGTGGAGTGCCTTCTTTCCAGCAGTAAGCATCCTGCAGCACGTTTTCATGAATTGTGTTCATATATATACATATAAATATGTATATATATATATATATATTTATATTTATATATATATATATATATATATATATATATTATCATTATTAGACCTTTATGTATACAGGTTAGTTCCCCTTGAGCCTCGAAGACTAATTTACAAGAGAGACCTGTTACGTACAGGCACATGAGAAAAAGAGAACACGAGGGTGAAGGAAGCCAAAAAAAATCATGTCTCACACCATGTCCTGGCTGGGAAACAGTGTAAAAGATGCAAAAAAAGAAAAAAAAGACCTGGCAACATAAAAAAAAAGCAACATACAGTGACATCATAATACATTTATGCATAGAGGATTTTGCAACCTTTGATCCAAAACTGTTAAGCAGATTTTGACTTTATGGTTACAATTCTATCAAAGTTTTTGTCTTTGACACCCACAGCAGACAGTCTTTTTGTAAAAACACTATGGTCAAGGATTTCCTTGCAAACTCCTTTAAATCAATGGTAGTTAAGTATCTTCATGGCCGATAGTCCAACGTTGCAATTCTCTGGTTTTGCAAGAACAGATCAATACGAGAGGAAACGTCTAAAGAGCATCAGCCTGATAACTACTGTTGACTCGGACTTACCGACCACTCTGACGCAACTTTGATGGAAAAGTTTGTGAGTTTGTGTGCAGGTTTGCATGTGTGTCCTCGCTCATGCTGCTTTGTGTGCATCCTGCAGGGGCTCTGCTCTTTGACCGCTCTCAGGGCTTCTGGCTGTCACACAGCATTCCCCACTTCCCCTCGTTCCCTGAGAGGGGTTACCTCTACCCCTCCTCTGGCAAACGCAACGGCCAGACCGCCCTGTGTGTCACCTATCAGTATGCACAGCTGCTCCATATAGGTGAGTGAACAGTCGGGAAGCAACCCGCTCCTGGTGTATGTGTAGAAGACATGATGAAAGGAGAGAAACATTAACTCTGTGGTCTGCTCTTATCTGAGGTCACCAGTAGCTTAAACGTGTTTGACCTTAGATGTGCGCATTCCTCCAAAATATTTGTTAATATGGAACAGCTTTTTATGATATAACTTTAATAATTAGATGATAATTAAGATTTGGTTATTAAAAATCTATCTAATCTACAAAAATGACAAAAGTGTGGTGCAGAAACTATAAAAATGGGCTTTGTGGGGCAGGAGATATACAGGTAGATTGGAAACAAACTTTTTTTTATTTGTCAAATGAGCTCCAGAGTTCTTCCTGGTTGTAAGAAATCCTGTTTGAGTTTATTTCATCTGTTCTCTCTCTGCTCTCCTGCAGCAAAGCAGCTGGTCAACCTTTACCCACGTTTCTACAACTGTTCTGTGCCCCCCTCGTTCTCAGCCGACCTGCCGCAGCTCGTCCAGCTGTGTGCGGGCTCCAAGCCTCCACTGGCCTCCAACAGGAGCATGGAGCAGCTGTTTTCTGCCCGAGGGGACAAGTTTGTCAGCTTTGTGAAATCTGAGGACTATGTCGATGGTAAGATGCTCTTCACCTCCTGCTGCTGCTCATTTAAGTTCAACTTTTTAAATTCAGTTCAGTTTATTTATATAGCGCCAAGTCACAACAGAAGTTGTCTCAGGACACTGAACAGAAACATTCACGAACATTATAAAAGCCAATTAGTAGGAGTTCTCTATCTAAGGAAGCCAGCAGACTCGTTGAATCTTCACTTCGTCGCAGTCTCCCATTCTGAGCAAGCACAAAGGCAACAGTGGAAAGAAAAAACTCCCTTTTAACCTCCAGCAGAACCGGGCTCAGAACGAACGGCCATCTTCTTCGACCAGCTGGTGTTTGAGAGGACAGGAAAGAAAAACAGACAAACATAGAATGGCAGGTCCAGGTGTACTTTCTATAGGAGGAAAGACAGGAAATAAAAACATGTTAAGGATATAAATTGTTACAAATACAAGCAGTAGAGTAGAACAGGTACAGACAGCAGCAGGGAAATGTGGTCAATGTATCTAATGACAGCATAACTAAGGGTTAGCTCAGGAAACCCCAGGTGATCCTAACTATAGGATTTATCAAAAAGGAAAAACTTAAGCCTCGTTTTAAAAGTAGACATTGTGTCAGCCTCATGAACAGAAATTGGAAGTTTGTTCCACAAGAGAGGAGCCTGATAACTGAAAGCTCTGACTCCCTTTCTGCTTTTGAAGACTCTAGGAACTGCAATTAAACCTGAAGTCTGAGAGCAAAGTGCTCTGTTAGGGAAGTATGGAACAATAAGATATGTAATATAAGATGATGTCATAGGTTATATGATGTTATATGCAAGATGAGATAGGGGCTGAGATGGTGTAGAGGTAGGGCAGCCAACTTGGGACCAGAAAGTTGTGGTTCAATTCCCCACATGAGATGTCTTTGAGCAAGACACCCAATCCCGTATTGCTCCCTTGGCACTTACATAGCTGCCCACTGCTCCACCTGGGTGCATCTCAGGTGTGATGAGTGAAATGCAGAGAACCAATTTCATATTGTATGGGAACATACAATAATGACAACACATAGCACTTACTTAAGATGGAACTAGGTTGTTGAGAGCTTTGTAGGTTAGAAGTGACATTTTGAATTCAATTCTGAATTTGACAGGGAGCCAATGGAGAGAAGCTAAAACTGCAGAGATATGATCTCTCCTATCAACTCTCATTAAAACTCTGACAGCAGCATTTTGGATCAACTGAAAACTTTTTAAAGAAGATTCTGGACACCCAGATAATAAACAATTGCAATAGTTCAACCTAGATGTGATTTTAGCTGCTGTGTTGCTCACTGGTAACTGGAGAAATCTTGGAGAAGGTGGTTTTTGTGTTTCCGTCCTGTGGGTGTTTTCCAGATGAACATACCCAAAGCTTTGAAAAGTCTCTCATTACTTTAATTCCATTTTTTGCATAAATGTAGACTTTTGTATTGTCTTTTTTTTCTTTTTGCATAATTTTTAGACCATGAAAAGTGTTCATGTGAAACTAATGTGTTTTTTTTTTTACATTTAAACAGTTCTTCTGAGATACTAATCTCTCTGCTGATTACAGCATAATCACATCTTGAAAATTTGTAACGTACAATGGACAATCATGCAAACTTCTTATTCTTCATTTTATCTAACTTTATGCTATTTAAAATGAGGAAAAACAACTAAAACAATATTGATAGAGGTTGTGTACAAATGCAAAGGCAGTGAAATTTTATAAGTTAAGTATGTTATATTAGAGATTAAAATAAAACTTCAAGTTCAAGTCAACTTTATTGTCATTTCCAACACATGTGGTACGTGACTAACTCCAACAGACTTCTGTGCAGCCTTCACCACTCTCTGCAGAGCTTTTCGTTTACTTCTAATGAGCAGTGAAAAGTAGCTGAAGAAGAAAAGTCTGAAGAAAAACTCATCAAAGCTGCATTAAAAGAGGACCAGAGTCTGGCTCCTTAGAAGCAGAATATAAAGAAATAATGCATGGCTCAAGAGCGACGCACTTTACTGTGTTCATGTTTTCTTTCGATCCTAAAGCAGCTGAACTGATCTCACCGTCCTTCCTTCAGATATCTACACAGGCTGGGTGGCTCAGGCCCTGAACACTGACCTCCTGGTGGAGTCTTGGCAGACACAAGGTCATGAGCTGCCGTCCAACTGCTCGCTGCCCAAACACACCATGAACATCAGGAGGATCAAGCTCCCCACCTCAGTCCACTTCCAGTCTCATCACGACCACTCAAAGTGGTGTGTTTCGCAGATCTATGAGGACCAAGTGACCTGCCTGGGGGATCTGAACAGGGAGAAGGCTCAGATGTGGCGAGGCGGGGGCGTGATCTGCACCTACAACCCTGTGATTTACAAGGCCTTCAGACAGGTGGTGGACTGGTACATCGGCTGCTGAACTAGACAGAAGGATTGGGGTTTGAATCTGATTTAATTGGACTAAATGTAAAGAATTACTTGAACATCTTTTAAAGTTTTAAACAAACACATTTGCTTCTGTGATAGCCTTCTAATCACCCCCCCCCCCCCCCCACCCTGATTTGAAGACATTATATCTTAATAAACTGTTTTTTAACTGAATGTTAGATGGAAACAGATCTAAGCAAAAGTTGGGATAGGCAACACACATTTCTCAAACACAAAGATGCTTACACAGATTTTCTAAATGCTTTGTTTTATTTCTATATAAAAAAAATCTTAATATATATATATTTTTCCCATAGGTTTTTTTTTTTTTTTTGCCTCTGTATGGTTTAAATGAAAGTAAATGCAGATGTTTAAACTTTTTATTTAGTGAAACTAATTGAAAGTTTCACCCATTTCCCACAGGAATAAGAAACAGACTTGTTTCCACTGACGTATTTCAGGTCGTTTGGAGGGAAACTGCACATCTAATTTAAGCTCTTCCTGTTTTGTTTACTACCTAATTATAAAATGCAGGCTGATCTGGTTAGAAAGTGAAAGTGCTGTAGGATTTTCCATCAGCAAATTAGTTTTGTGAAAAAATTCCCTGAATAAAAGGCATACCAGGGCAACTTCTACTTTGTATTAATTTTGAGTGACTTTATTTTGTCTCAGAGTTTTATGAGTGAAATGTTAAATGTTTGGGGTGCACAGCGCCATCTAGTGGTCATATTGGGGAATAGGATAAAATTTAAAGACTAGGCCTGCCATAAGATGAAGATGATTCAGATGTCTCTCATTCACTGTCTATCCTTCATCTTCCAGTGTTCATCCAGAGATTTGTTTAATTGGTCTTGTTTGAAGAAGACAAACATTTTTAAACATTTTCCTGAGAAAAAGTCACACCAAGTGGAAAAGTGCTGGTGACACAACCATCCATGTTATGTCTTCAAGCATGTTTGAACTTTCTGTTTGAGTACCACTTAATAAATTGTTCAATTTTACATTAATTGTTGCAAAGTAATCATGTGTATGCATTCAATTTATTTGTTCGTGAATATAAATGACACAAATTACATGAAAACATCACTTAACTGAGCACTTTTTGTCAGCAAATTCATTTTCCCCTGGTACAACGAAGACTCTAAATCATTTGTTTTTCTAAAAATAATAACACATTTTATTTGAGGGCACCTTTCAAAAAAGTTTTAATCAAACAATCTCTTTAAAACACACATTTATATTTTTAGCACAATTCTAAAACTTATAATATTTTTTGTTCCACAACATTGGCTATACATTTTAGATTAAGTATTATCTTACAAATACACAGTATATTCAATCATTCATTCATTTATTCTTAAGTCTACAGACTTACAAACACAAAAAATATGTTTCCCATAAAACTTCATGACTCTTTCAGGCTTTTGATCTTTGAGAGTCAGAGTTTATTTGTCGTTCGCACCACATGTGGAAGAACAAGTTTATGTACACAGAGTCCCAGTTACATACAACAATAAAATAAAAAAAGAAAACCAGTAATACGATCTAAGATATGAATTAAGAAAAATGTGAATTAAAAACATGCTAAGCACTAATAGCATAAAAACAATATGCCGAACAGCAGCACAAACATGAGGCTGTTTGAGCAGATGAGCACGAATGCACACAGAAACATGAAACAGATCAGCAGCAACATGAAACAGATCAGCAGCAACATGAAGTGTTTTTTTTTCACAGTGGTTATTCTAGTTAGAGATTCATGAGTCTAACAGCTTCAAGGTAGAAGCTGTTCCTCAGTCTAGTGGTTCTACACTTAATGCTTATTAACCTCCTTCCTGAGGGGAGCGGGGCAAAAAGTGTGTTTGCTGGGTGAGTGGAGTCCTTCATGATGCAGGTAGCCCTCTTTCTGCATCTGGAGGTGTAGATGTTTGTGATGGTGCGGAGATTGACTCCAACAGACTTCTGTGCAGCCTTCACCACTCCCTGCACCGCAGATCCTCCTATGTTTGCGCGGTTGGGGGGGGGGGGGGGGGTGTTGTGTCTCTTCCTTCTGAAGTCCATGACCATCTTCTTCATCTTCTTCACATTGATGTGAAGGTTATTCTCTTTGCACTAACTTTCCAGGTGTTCCACTTCCTGCCTGTAGCTGGACTCATCGTTGTTTGTGATGCATCCCACCACCACTGTATCATCTGCAAACTTTACAATGTGACAGCCTGGATGAGTAGGTGCACAGTCATACATTAGCAGAGTGAACAGGAGAGGGCTCAACACACAGCCCTGACAGGAGCCAGTGCTGAGGGTGAGAGCAGTGTGGACCACAGAGGAGATGGCGTTCTCTGATAGATTCTCGAGGTATGTGTCCTGGTGAGGGTCCTCGTTGATGTTGATGGTTGTTTTGATGTGAGTTATGACCAGTTTTTTGAAGCATTTAGCGACTATCGGGGTGAGGGCCACTGGCCTGTAGTCATTCAGACCAGTCACTGTAGAGCTCTTTGGGACTGTGATGATGGTGACAGTCTTCAGGCAGGTGGAAACCGTCTCCAGAGTAAGTGAGGAGTTAAAAATGTCTGCCAGCACCTCGCAGAGCTGATCAGCACATTTTTTCCAACACCTCCCCGGGGATGTTGTCTGGGCTGGTTGCTTTGTGAGGATTAATCCTCCTGAAAGTACTCCTCACTTTGGCTGAGGTCACGCTGAGAAGCTGTTCTTCTGGTGGTGAGGTGAGTCTGGTGCTGGGTGGTCTGTGCGGGTCTTCAAAGTGTGCGTAGAACTTGTTGAGGGCATCAGGCAGTGATGGGTCTCTAGGGCATTGTTCACTCCTGCTTTTATAATCTGTTATACACTTGATACTCCTCCACATGCTCCGTGGCTCTTGTGAGGTGAATCGACCCTCGATCCTCTGTGCCTTGGCCCTCTTAATACCAGCAACCAGCTCTTTCCTTGTCCTTCTCAGCTCCTGTGTGTTTCCAGACCTGAAGGCAGTGTTCCTGGCTTCCAGCAGGGTGCAAACCTCTGCATTCAGCCAAGGCTTCCTGGTCGGGTAACTTTTAACACATCTAACATACAATAACATATTGATGTCACCAAACATTGGTCAGGTATAAACATGCAGTCAAACCTGATAATAAGAAAACAAAAAACTTTGGGGCAAATTTATATTATTTAAATAACTAGTGCTGGAATGTGAGACAACATCCCCACTGAATGTGCAGAAGGCAGATAAATAACCAGTTTATATGTTAGCGACCACAGCAGCTAACTAGCCAATTTCAATGCTATGAAATGACTTTGATTATTGAGCTCAAGTAAATAGAAAAAAAAAGTTAATTGTCTAATGAGGAAAAGCCAAGGCTTTCTTTAGCTTTGGTCTGGAAATGAATACTTGTCATCTGCAGCTTAGGTGCTGTTGTTGAGCACTGGTGCTGTTGGTGGTCTGAAGGTCTTATGATCACCTTTGCTGATGACGTTTATAGGTCCAGCCACCGGTAAAACCATTTTCAGATGTTCTTGACTTTCAAACATTCTACAAAATGTTCTCCAATATTACAAACAGGGTACCAACTGGGATGGCAAGAAATCTTTATTTTCAACAGCAGTTGCTACTCCATGTCATCCTCTAGAGCCGTTACTATCATTTACAACCTCTACCTGCAAGAACAAGAGCTGCATTTTCTGAACTGGTTCATCTCTGTTCAGTCTATACATTTTCCATACAACATTTTTTTGTGTGTGTATTGTTTGCTTTTATTTTGTGGGTTTATTGTTTATAATTCTGTAAAGCACTTTGAGCTGCTTTTAGTATGAAGGGTGCTTTATAAATAAAAATGATTGATTGATTGACCTGTTTAACACCTTTTCAAATGCTGTTTTTATTTTTTTTAATTTGAAGAAAAGATGCACCAGAAGAGAATTAGAGAATTGGGATTGTAGTAGATTTCTTAGTCCCAGCACTCAATCATTTTTTAGAAACAAGCGTTTCTCTGCAGGCCGCAGGCCCAGATTTGAGCAATAATTTCTGCTCTCCTCTGTTGAAATAGCCTGTGTTAGAGCTCTCTTCAGTTTCACAATAATTACCCCCCCCCCACACACACACACACACACACACACACACACAGAACATCTTTCTGTCATCTCAATTCTGAAATGAAACTGGGTTTGCAGCAGGCCTGTCAGCAGACTTTGGTAGCTAGTTCCTTAAAACAACAGAGGTATTTACAACAGCAGTTTGAGCGACAAGGAAGCAGCTGAAAAATGTACAGGAGATGTGGGTGAGAGTTTCCTGTCACACTGAGATGTGACACTGCAGCCTCTTAGAACCGGTTTGTAGTTCAGTGTGAAAGGAAGTGAAGATGACAGGACACGTAAGTAAAATGATTACATGGTTGTAAAGAAAATAACAAATTGAGCAGCTGAATATTAAAATGTAGAAATACTAAATCTAAACTAACCTTAACATAAAGGTCTGCATATATTTCACTGTTTAAATGTAAAATACTGTAATAACTCATGTACATGTAATATACTGTAACTAATAACTCGTTCCTGTCAGTCATTATTACACAATAACGTAGTGGCTGATTAAAACGTGCAGCTTCTTTAGTATACAAACCTACAAAAGATGAATATACTCATATAGTTACAAAACAATATGTGGATGTTTGTGGTTTGTGCTTATATTATGCCATTCAACAATACTTGTTATCGTGTGCATCTTTTTTTAACTGATGAAGCCTTCTGGATCGAAGGCGAAATGTTTCAGCACAAAAAAGAAACTTTCCAGATGACCTAACTAAAAAATGTTGGATTGTATACCTGGATTATTGAGCATGGACTTTGTT